GTAGATTCATAGGTGATTTTTCCCTTTCACCTGACTTGCTTCACTAAAGATTATTTTGAGATTCATCTACTGTAGTGCATTCTACCCATGGTTCATCCCTCTTTATTGCAGCAAAGAATCCACTGCATAAACATGATATCATTTATTTATGCATTGCTCTACTGGTGGATATTTGGGTTATTTATAATTTGAGACTATTATTGATAGATTATTATGAATGCCCAATACTGTGGTGATTCAACCAATGGGCCCTCTATAGTATGGAATTCCTTTGACTTCCCTATTGCCTAAAGGATGGCCTCCTATAGTTATTCGTTTAAAAGATTGTTTCTTCACTCTACCTTTACAAGAAAAAGACAGAAAAATTTGCCTTCACAGTGCCTACTTAAAATAATTCTCAGCCTAGTAAGTGATATAAAAGGAGGGTCATCTCACAAGGATGTTAATTAGTCCCACCCTGTGCTAATGTTTTGTAAGTCAGTCGTTGGAAATAATATATAAGCAGTTTGCTAAATCTATAGTTTACTATTATATGGATGACATCTTGCTATCTGATTCAAATGTAGATATTTTAGAAAGAATGTTTGAAGAAGTAAAGAAAGTTTTGCATAATTGAGTATAACAAATTGCTCCTGAAAAAAAAAAATACAAAGAGGAGAGTCTAACAATTGTCTATTGTTTATTTATTGAAGATTAGAACACAAAAAGCACAAATTAGGAGAGATCAGACACAGGAGACATTTCCAATTTATTGCCAATTTATTGTGGGATAAAACCTGATCTAATAATTCATTTAAACAAAACCTTCTATGGTGACAAAGACATTTAATAGTCCCAGAGAATTAAGAGTTGAAGCTAAGAAAGAAATTTTGAAGAGAAATTACAGAAGGTACATGTGGATCATGTGGATCCAAATATTAACTGCATTCTGGTCATATTACTCTCCAAATATTCCACTACAAGAATTTTAATGCAGAGGAAGAATATTATCTTAGAATGAATCTTTTTACTGCATAAACTGAGAAAAAAATTAAACCTTATGTAGAAAAGGTCTCTGAATTTATTATTAAAGGAAAATTGAGACTTTGTCAATTACCAGGAATAGACTCAGCAGAGATTATAGCATCTTTTGCTAATGTTGAAATTAAAAAAAATATGGGAAGACAATGAACCCTGGCAAAGAGTTTGTGCTACTTTTTTGGAAGAGATGAATCACAATTATCCCCAAAGTAATAAAATTTACTGTATAAAGAGAGCTAATTGGATCCTTTCTCACATTGTATGGGACACACCGAGAACTGGAGCCCCTACATTCTATATTGATTTAAATAAATGAGAAAATGTAAGTTATGAATCAGAAGATTTAAGTAAAGTGGAACAAAGCCCTTACAATTCTGTCCAAAAGTCAGAATTATATGCTGTTCTCTTGGCACTAAGGGATTTTAAAGAAACTCTCAGTTTAGTTACTGATCCACAATATGAAGAAAGAGTTATTCTGCATATTAAAACTACAGAATTTATACCAGATGATACAGAATTTACTTCATTATTTATTCAGGTTCAAAATAAAATCAGGAATAGGCTTTGCCACATATGCATAACACACATACAATTCCATACAGGTCTGCCAGGTCCTCTAGCACAAGGTAATGCAGAAATTGATTTATTTTTGATTGGAAATGTGCTGAAGGCCTCAGAATTTCATTAAAAATCATGTCAATAGCAAAGGTTTAAAAAAGAAGTTTTCTACTACATGGCAACAAGCTAAGGACATTATAAGGAGATGTCTTGCTTGTTCTTTATAACCAAACACCTGCAGGGAGTAACTTAAAAAGTTACTGAAAGGAATGAAATCAGGCAGATAGATGTATTCCACTTTGTAGAATTTGAAAAATTAAAGTATGTACACCACACCATTGACACCTATTCAGGTTTCCAATGGTAACTTCCTTGAGCTCAGAAATGGCTGATTTGGTAATCACACATTTACTAGATGTTATGGCCATCATGGGTATACCTGCACAAATAAAAACAGACAATAGTCCAGCGTGTGCCTCTAAGAAAATGAAATAGCTTTTTGCTTATTTTAATATAAAGCATATTATAAGTATACCACACAATTCTACAGATAAAGCAGTTACAGAAAGATCAAATTTTGAACTATAAAGAATATGATAGGGGCTGGAGAGATGGCTCAGTGGTTAAGAGCACTGGCTGCTCTTCCAGAGGTTCTGAGTTCAATTCCCAGCAACCACATGGTGGCTCCCAGCCATCTGTAATGAGATCTGGCATCCTCTTCTGGCATGCGGGCATACATGGAGGCAGAATGTTGTATACATAATAAATAAATAAATAAATTTTTTAAAAAAAGAATATGATAAACAAACATAAAGAGATGAAACATATCCCCAGAAATAGATTGCATAATGCTTAGTTAACCTTGAATTTTCTTAATGCTAATGAGAAAGGAACAATGGCAGCAGAGAGACATTGGATAATAGAAAAAAAACTTCTCAATTAAATCAGTCAGTGTATTTCAATGATGTGTTGACCTCACCATGGAAATCAGGAGATGTTTTATGTTTGGGAAGGGGTTTCACTCTTGTTTCTACAGGAAAAGAAAGTTATAGATACTATCAGAATTAAAAAAGATTTTGTTTGAAAAAGAGAACACTCTTGAGAAGGAAAAATGACAGCTTATCCACAGATGTAACAACCACACAGGTGGTAAGGAACCTCACAAGGGTTCTGGTCTTAGCAGGAAAGTACCCATCTTCAAAAAGTCAAGAGATCTTGGACATCAAGATGCTTAAACAAGAAAAGACAGATATCCAAAAAGAATCACCAAGCAAAGATAAATCTGATTTATGATACGCATATTCTCTGCAGGATAAAATTTCACTTCCTAAACATACATATCACTCTACTTCTCAGTATAATGGTAGTCGTGACTCACTTCAAAATCAAAGCCAGCTTTGGAGTTGGACAGAGGCTATTCTCTAAATCCAAGCATGTTGTTAAAAGAAAAATTCAGCGTTTCTGTGTCATATCAGGATCGACCTGGTATGGGACAGAAGGAAGAAAAAAATTTAGGGACTTTTTTTTTTTTTTTTTAGCAAAACTCTGATTTCAAAAAATTTTGCTTCTCCCCATACCTATTTTTGTCCCTATGGTACCTTTTGTTGAATATATGTCTATATGAATAATGTTTAAGTTTTCTATAATAAACAATAAATTTTCCTGCAGTAATCTATGGAGTTTCCAGGAAGAAGATGGGGCCCCACAACAATGACTCCACCTGGTTTATATGACGTCATTATGCTGATAGCACCACTTTAAGTTTGGTTTTGGGTGACAAATTGCTCAAGATGATTTCAACTTGGCTAGCTGAAATGATGCACCTTCTTACAATGTTCTGGCCAGAACTTCAAATAAGAACTCTAACAAAACCATACCAGTAATCTTGAAATTTAACCATCATTTTAGCTTTTACAGGATCCCATAGAAGTAATATTGATCCATAACAGCTGGAAGTAATTCTAGAAAATGACATCCCCTCTCCACAACGTTTGTCCTCAGGGGTAGGGACAACTAATAGGGTTTCATTATAAGAGTTATAAGAATGGAGGTGGAAATTAAGTAGACTCAGGGATATCTTTTGAAAAAAAAATAAAAGGATTGGATGGAATAATAGGTAGATTAGTGTGAGCTTACACACACTAATAATAATAGTGAGTAGTAGTGAGAATACTTGTGAGCTATTACTTATAGACAATTTACATTAATATAGATCTTGTATAATCGTTCAATCAATAAATATCTTCTTCTGCACTGACCCTAGATAGTGACATGGCTTAATATTGAAAACAGATTATAGCAAACTAATAATTCTTTTTTGAAATTGACACATGCTTATGGCTTTTTTTCATGGTATATAAAACGATGTTACTTGTAATGTTTTTCATAGCCCATATGGGAAAGGAAAGTGTTTGTTTTCTAAAGTGACTTATCTAGACAGTTGCTGATGAGATTTATGTCAAGTTGACACAATCAAGTCATTTGAGAAGAGGGGAGCCTCAAAATTCCCTCACCGGATAGGTCTAATTGGGACAGGTTCCTAATCAGTGATAGATGTGGGAGGACCTAGCTCATTGCAGGAGTGCCACCCCTGGGTAGTATCCTGTGGGTACCTAAGGAAGCAAACTGAGAAAGCCATGCAGAACAAGCCAGTAAGCAGCACTCTGTCTTGGCCCCTGTATCAGCTCCTGCTTCATTTCCTGCCCTGACTTCCTTCCTGATGAAATTTTCAGAGAAATTTTGAAGTTTTTTCAAAGAACTGTGTATGTGTGGTGTGTGTATGAGAGAGAGAGAGAGAGAGAGAATGTGTGTGTAGTGTGTGTGCACGTGCGTGTGTGTGTGTGTGCACATGTATATGTGAGCGTGGGTGCATGTGTGTGTGTGCATGCGTGCATGTGCATGTACGCACACACGTATGCTCGTTGGTGTTTTGCCTGCATGGATGCTTGTGTAAGAGTGTCAGATCCTCTGGAACTGGAGTTACAGACCATGTGGTGCTGGGAATCGAACCCCGGTCCTCTGGAAGAGCAACCAATGTTTTTAACCACTGAACCATCTCTCCAGCCCAAGACATTTTTGAGTATTTTAAGGAGACTTTAGATTTTCAAGTGTTTGAAATTTTAAAGAATGTAGGATTTTTAAAAGTCAGAACGCTTTATATTGTGATACTGATATTGATGTGACCTCTTTGGGGATGAACGAGAAAGGAAAGAATACGGCTGTGTGTGTGTCAGACTGACAGAGGTCAACTGCAGTACGTTTTGGTCACAGCAACAGAAACCCTAACTAAGACACACAGTAAAAGAACAGCTTTACCATCAGCAGGTTTTCCTAGAAAGTGATGGCTTTTACTTAATTTATAAGTAATGATTATGTACTGATATTATTTCATATTGCCTAAAACAATTTCTCTCTCTCCTTCTCTTCCTTCCTTTCTTCTTCTTCCTCCTCCGTCTCCTCCTTCTTTTCTTCTTGTTTGTCTTCTTTTAGAAATAAGGCTTTACTTTGGCTCACAGTTAAAAATACAGTTCATCATGGTGAGAGAAGCTGTAGAAACAGGGTCTTGAGGCAGCTGGTTACATTATGTCTGCAGTCAGAAAGCAGGGAGAGAGAGAGATGGACACTCAATTTCTTTAGTATTTCTTTACATTTACTTTGATTAAACTACTATTTCCCAGCCTTACTTGCTTTAAGTTTTAAAAATTACTGACCTGCGGGTTCATGACTTCTCTAGTACCCCTGGACACTTTTTCTCAAAAGTCAGAATTTATATTTCACAGCGAGAGGAATGTATTTTAATAGTAGCACGAGGCATCATCAACAGGATATCTACATTTAAAGAAAATCCTAGTGTTTGGGGGATCTAGCACTTTCTTCTGCTGCCTTATGCCCCAAACAATGGCAAGTTTGACATTGACTACAATCATAATTGCATTGGCCCCAAAAGTCCTGGAACAACTCCCTTAGCAATTCACATCAGAAATGCATGGTGTTTCTTTTATTGCCAATACCGACATAAAAGTCAGACACAAAACGGGAACGTTAGGCATTCCAATGGAGCACCTCGGGGAGGTGACTAATCTCTCTGCTTTTCACTAATATGCTGCTCATGTATTTCCAACTCTAAGAGAATAATTCCTTCACAGAACAGCAATTACATTTGATTTAGAAGACCACTAAAAATTAACCAAGTACTTCTAGCAGTTGTTTAGTAGAGAATAGATCATCGGAAAAACTAGCTGTTGGGTTGTTCCTCATCAGCTTGAAATAAATCTCGAGATTAGTCTTCCATGCCTTTTCTTCCTTTGGCATCTGCGTTGAAGTCGGTATTGATAAATGATCCATAACAGGCAGCATTTGTGTCTATCTGAGTGTGAAGCTGTCTGCTCCCAAACACAAATCAGAACTGCCCTTTTCCTTCTCTATTAACATATCTGCCTTGACAATCAAACAGACGTCCTCACGCCTTGGAAATGAATGACTAGTTTAACAAATAGAGCTCTCTTTTCTTTAACTCAGCTCACAACAAATGTAGGAATTAATCACAGCCAAACTTACTTGGCAGAAGATTAATTTTGAAATATATTTTGAATTAGTTTTCTCCCAAGGATCTCCTATCCATCATAATTTAGCAATCGATTTAGAGAAAAATATCAAGGAAACAATGTTTCCTAAACTGAATTTCATGGCGTGTTCATTCCTCGAGATGGTAAAAGGCTACAGTTTTAAATTCTGTGCCCAAATCACAAAATGCCCATCAGCTAGCATCTAGGTGCTATTTAACCCTCTTTGGGATACATGTTTGTATATTAAATGTTCTGAAATACTCCATCGGTAAGAAAATAGTTTTCTAAGTTTTAAAAAGAATGTGTATGGGTGGGGGCAACCATGCATGTCACATACGCATACAAAGGTCAGAGGAGTGTGCTCTTACCTTCCACACCTGGGTCACAGGGATGGGGCTCAGCCCAACTCTGCCCACCGAGCCATCTTGTCAGTCCAGTCATTTCAGCTTTGATCACTGCTCTGCCACCACCACCAACACGTATTCCAGGACACAAACGTCAGCATGCCTTTCAAGACACAAATGTGGTTTTAGTTTGGTTTCTCAAGGTTGGACAATGAACCCAGGGCCAAGAGAATCAGTTGTATTCACATTTTATAAAACTTGTTCACTATGGTTCCATTTGAGAAATGAAGCAGTCCCTCAAGATGGACTGTTTTCATTTCTCCTGCCCTATTAGGGATGCTTTTGTGAAAAACTTGCGGCCTTTAATTAGACGTACTTTTACTTTACCTCCCTTGTCTCTAGCTGGGGTATTGGTGAACAATCAAACGGCTGCTGGGGAAGATGAGTACATGAAATTATTTGGAAGTTGGAACTAGGTAGTTAAATAAATTCAGTTCTAACACTTTTCTTAAAATTATTGCTGATATCAAATATCATTATATGTTCATATTCCATACTTCCTCCACACATGTTTAAAATGAGACAATTTTAAAAGTTTCAGGGCTAGCTGGGCATGGCATTGACACCTTTAATTCCAGAATTTGAGAGGCAGAGGCAGGCAGATCTCTATGGGTTTGAGGCCCGCCTGGTCTACAGAGTGAATTCTAGGACAGCCTGGGCTGTTTACACAGAGGAACCCTGTATCAAGAAAACAAAACAAAAACCCCAATAAATCAATCAATAAACAAACAAACAAATAAAGTCCCGGCGTTCTAGATACTACATTACATGTATCTTCTCTTCCTATTTTTAAAACCGTTCTAGTCACACAGTCTGCCTCTCACCAATGCTCTTCCGTCCTCACAGCTTCCATGGTGAAAGTGGATGCTAGAAGAAATTGAAAGTGCTGGGTCTTTCCCCCTACTCACTACATAATAATAATGATAATGACATCAACAATAATACAGTACTAATGACGATAACAGACAGTGGATAAAAAAAACTCTTTAAGAAATTAAGATTCAAGGGAGATTTCTGGTCAGTCCAGAAGTCATTAAGGGTGGTAAAAAAAAATGGACATTGTGGTTGTGAATGATGATCGGAAAGACCAAATAACAAAGGAAGCATTCGTGCTGGTAAGCATTGCTGCTTCCTTATTTTTTGATTGGCCACATCAGTGTGTATTTAAGGAAAGCAGATGAGAACTGCACGGACCTGGGGGGTGGAGAGGGCCCGACTCTGCAATGCTCTGCATTCCTTCCATTACAGTACGGATTCTTTAGTGCAGACGTAGAACACATCCTCTGAAATTAGTTGGGCTCCAGTGCTTCAAAGTTTCCCATCTAAGAGTGCTGTTGCCACCTGGAGGCCTTAGATGTTCTCAGACCAATTCCGACTTGGAAAATGTGCAGTGGGTGATCTCTGTGGCAATCTAAACAATCCATAACCTCGGACCTCACAAGAATAGCATTTGGGTATTTGCCAAAGACAGCATTAACAGCAAGGATAGACTTAGACCATGCAAACAAAGAATCTTCATTTCCTTTGCCTTCTCTTCCTTTGCAGTCTACCCTCTGCCCCACAGGATCTAGAAGCAGAAGGAATGTCTGTATGAATATTGGATTAAATCAGTATCTTGGTTGGCTTCTGTTGCCCTAACACAATACTACAGACTGGGAAAATTTTAAGCCATAGAAGTCTATTTGACTTGTGGTTCAGGAAGGTAGGAATTCCTATACTGTGGCTTCAGCATGTGGTGGGGCTTTGTATCATAACAAGAGACCAGTGAGAATACGTGAGACAGAGGAGAGAGCTGTATAAACTCATCTCTCTGACAGGATCTCACTCCCAGAATGACAGCACTAACCCATTCTTGAGGACAGAGGACATGTGACATAATCATTATTTAAAAATCCCATCCATGGGCTGGGGATGTAGCTCAGGGTAGAGTGCTTATTTAGTATGTCCAAGGCAATGACAGCACACACACACACACAAACACGTGCATGCATGCATACACACACGATGCACAGACAGGGTGGAGGATGGAATATGAGAGGTTCTACATTTTGAATTTATCATAGTGATAATAAATTCCAACAGGGTTTTGAGCAGTACATTTATTTTCTTAAGTTTGTAATCATATTTATGTACAGAAAACTTAGCAGGTACATTTAACCCGGTTTAGTGACAAGTTCTTTGGCCTTTGCCTTTTCTAGCTTGGCAATTCAAGTCACAGATTTAGGACCCAGGACATTGCCTCCCAGTGGCGGCGGATCTCATCATATCTGTCACTCTAACTGGTTCCAATAGCTTCCAGCAGCTGAGCCAGAGCATCCTTGTCTTCCGAGCTAACCTGTGGGAAGGCAGCAGTGGTGTAGGACTTCCTGTGGATGATGCAGTAGAGGACCCCCAACACAGGGCAGGCAGGAAGACCACCAGCCTAATGGGGTCTATGTCATGGGCAATCACCACCAGCTGGGTCTTCTTATTCTCCACCATGGTGGCTACTGTATTGACCCCGCTCAAAGGACTGATAGTCTCTTAGTTGGGACAACCCTTAACAAGCAATTTTCTTCTCAGGATATTTAAACCCCTGCCACTAGATTGGATTTTTGGTTTTGGTTTTGGTATTTTGGTTTTTCAAGACAGTGTTTCCAAGTTCTGGAGCCAGTACTGGAACTCGGTGTGCAGACCAAGCTGGCCTCGAACTCACAAACAGCCATCTGCCTCAGCCTCCCAAGTGCTGAGATTAAAGGTTTGTGCCATCACTGCCTGACTGGATTTTTAACACCTCCAAAAGTCTGGAGATCTATGGTGCCCCCAGGAGGTCATTAAACAGCATTGAAAATATTTTACACATGAGTTTGTAATAATGTAACAGATTATGCTGATACATTACTCTTCAGTTAATGAATTATATGATATTCCCATTGCTATCCCCAGTCATTCATCTTTTAAAGCCCCTCCCAGTCCTGTCATATTTAAACATGTTAAGGTCAATGTTAAGTTCTGTTCTTCCCTTCAAATACGGACTAGAAAGCTGTCTTGATTCTATTCTTATGCTGAGACCCTTTTCTAAATTTTGCCTAATGTATATGTGTTTGTGTGGCTGTTATTTGTGTCTGGATAGTTAGTCACATGTGTGTGCCTAAACATGGAGGCTGGAGGTCGGCATCTGGTTTCCTTCCATGTTTGTTTCTGTCTTAATTTTTTTTTAAAGATTTATTTATTTATATCACTGTTTTTCTCTGCATGTACATCTGCCCAATAGAAGAGGACATCCGACTTCATGGGACTACAATTATAGACAGTTGTGGACCATGTGGTGCTAGCTATTGGACTCAGGACCTTTGGAATAAGCAGCCAGAGCTCTTAATTAATGGTTGAGTCATCTCTGTAGCCCACTGATTCCTAATTCTTAAGACAGAGTCTCCCACTAACCTTGTGCTGTGTGGCAAAACTTTTCCTGGGAGGAACACACACACACACACACACACACACCTACTCACCCCAGACAGGGATCCCTTGGGTGAGAGATTACTTCAGGAGAAGAAAGGACTCAAGGACAGCTGCATCACCAAGGCCCAGCCCAGCAGGAGTGACTCACAGAAGCTGGGAAACCTGGAGCACATTACACAGCCTGCAGGCAGCTTACTGGGTGGGGAGTGTCCCTTTTAACCCCTTCCAGGCATCTCTGTGGTTTCCTCTTCCAGGCTTCTAGTCTAGTCTCAGAGAGGCTTCTTTGAGATTTTTCTCATCTCAGTTTTTTCTCTGCTGCTCATCTGCCTTCCCTCTGAGCAGGATTCTCAGCTTTTATTGCTTACTGTGGAGGGGGAGGGCGTGGGCTGTGCTGCTAACGAATCTGTTCAGTTTCAGGGACTTCTTGAAGCTACTTTGAGTTGCTTGCTTTTCTTCCACTTAAGAGGTTTCCATGGGATTGAATGTTTTGATCTGAGGAAGCTGGTGCACATTTGCAGCTCACAGACTCACTTAGATTGCCTGCTAGTGAGCTCCAGGAATCCTCCTGTCTCTGTTTTCCCAGGGCTGGATTTCAAGCCCAAGCTGCCAAGACCAATCTAGGATATAAGGATTTTCTATGAAATTTATGCTTGCACCACGACGAGTGTTCAGGTTTAATGAGCAGGTCTCGTGTGTCATTGGGTCACCACGCTCCACTGCAGAGCTTGTCACAGTGTAGCTGCGCCAGACGTGTGCCAACCACGCTAAACTGCTCCTTAGTGCTGGAGAATGTCCCGACAGTGTGCACTTCGTCTCCCCCACCTTCTCAGGCCTCCCATCCCAACCTTCTCTTCTGATCACTGTCTAGCAGTGAAACTCTGAGTTTAGCTTAATCTAGGCTTACTTTCTGCAGCTAAGGTTAATTTGACAGAGGGATTTTTGACACATTTCTTTACTGTTCCAAAGAGATATTGCATGTGTGTAATAGATGCGTTCGTTTCCATGCTGGTGACAAAGTGCTTGGGACAAACAACTTCAAAGTAAAGGACTATTTATTTTGGCTCATGGCGATAGAGTTGGAAGACAGAGCACGCCAGCCTTCAAGAGCATCCCCAGTGACACTTCATAGTCCCTACCTGCCACAGCTGTTCCACTTCCAAGAGTGCTAGTCACTACCTTGTACGCTCTCCATAGTCCAGACAAGCTAGAACCTGAGGTTCTCCTACCTAGGACTCCCAAACGACTGAAATCATGGGCCCATGCCACCACATCTGACTCTAATTTAATTTTTTTTTTTTCGAGACAGGGTTTCTCTGTAGCTTTGGAGCCTGTCCTGGCACTAGCTCTTGTAGACCAGGCTGGCCTCGAACTCACAGAGACCCGCCTGCCTCTGCCGAGTGCTGAGATTAAAGGCATGGTGTCCATACTCTAAAGGTCATAATTTTTCTCACAAAGAAACTGAGGCTTGGAGAGGTCAGAATGAATTGCCTAAGACACATAGTTAGTGGCAGGAAACGTCGTCTATATCCATGGTGTCTGGCTATAAATGATGAAGGCTGCTGGGAACTGACTGTAGAGTTGCACACCTAAAGACAAACCATTATCCGGTGTCTTTCTGGATACACACGAAAGGAGGACTATTACCAAATAACTGAAGTTTCCGGTTTTCAGATTTACATGAGAAAAGTAACCTGTTTGTGTTTACTTTAACTATCGTGTAAAAGATACTCATAGATGAAGAAACCTGGAGTTGAAATGGTAAAGTTTGAAGAGCCCAAATAGCAGTAGTTAGACGAAATGAAAGGAGACGCAAGGCAGTAATGCAAGAAAAAAACCAATACCAACCCTACTAACGGGAAAGCGTGGGGGGTCGACAAACTCAGCACGAGGAAATGGAGACCTGCACAGTGAACCCAAATCACTTTTAAACTAATAGTAGTTAATAACTTAAGTACTATTTTGTAAAAGTTCATTCAATACTGTTATTTGATGAATGTACCAAAAAGAAAACAAAATCAGGTAGCATGGCTGGGACTTGAAGTATTTGGATGAGGTGAGTTGTTTAAAGATTTACTGTTGAGTCCAGACAGAAATCCAAGCCTTTCAGTTCTTCCCTGGGCTCTTTGACACGTTGGCTAGTTAGTGAAGCTGAAGCGTTGGCTGTTTCACCTCTGACCTCTGATGGTTGTGTTAGTCATCTATTTATTTATTTATTTACAGCCCTGGCCGTTTCACCTCTGACCTCTGATGGTTGTTTTAATTAATTTATATGCAGCCCTGGCCGGCCCAAGACTCGCTTTGTAGACCAGGCTGGTTTTGTACCTCGCTTGACCCAGGCCCCTCGCTTGAAGCTGCCTCTAGAGCCCAGGGATTAGAGGCGTGCACCGCCTCAATAGTTAGCCTTAGGAAGGTATTCTTATTAGAACCTAGCAGGAGTCAGGAAGCTGGCTCTAAACTGAAGGGAGCGTGTTCAGCGACAAGTGCCGGGGCCCTGATGCCTTTTAGCTAAGAAGGCTGGACTAGGGCCCTGCCCAAACACCAACTGATGCAATGCCCTTGTCGGGAATGACAGCAGAACATGATGGGCGGTGGGGGTTTCAGAGAAATAAATTCTCAAGAGAGGTAGAGAAAGCCGGTGCGAAGGTTTTTAGTTAGCATAACCGCGTTGCCGGCCTGCAAATCCCAGCATTCTCTTCGACCCTGGGAACCAATGAGCAACCTTCAGGCCAAGCAGCCAATCCCGCCCTTTGCCTGTCACCGGCTGAATTGTGGGAATTGTGGTTTTCACGTGGCAATCACACAGCATGGTTGTCAGGGCGCAGGGTCGGCCACGCGTACCGATCTGAAGGAAAGCTTATTTTACAGCGCTCCCGTTGGCCTCCAGGCCAGCTGTAGGCATCGCCACTCACGAGCCTCCCGCGCCTTAAAACACATAAGTCATCTCCTCTCCTCTCAACGTCCTCCGGGGAAGAGCACGCAAGCTACCGCAGGAGCATTCCGGCCTGCTAGCCTCCCGGCCCGTCCTTTAACCGTCGCTCTAAGGTCTCGCGAGACCAGGCCCTAGAGGCGTTATCATTCCCCCTGAAAGGCGGTCCGCGCGGAGACTGGCGTCGGACTCCACCAACGGGAGCGCCTCTCTGAGCGGCGCCTGCGCAGAGCGCTCGGGACCGCCTCGGTGACCTCCGACCCCGCCTCCCGCAGCGCCCCGCGTCGGCCGCCCCCGCCCTCCCCGCGAAGGAGGCGGGCTCTGGCCTCTGGCCCTGGGGAGCGAGACGGCGCGATCGCGAGTGTCTGGCTTCCAAGCGAGGCCCAGCCGCCCGTCCCGCCACCCATGAGCTCGTCGCTCCGCGAGCAGCTCCGTCGTTAGGCCGTCCCCGCCAGTCTCTCATCCTGCCCCCGCCCCCCGGGACCGGCACCCCCCAGCCCCGTCTGCCCGGGCTCCGCACGTCGTGTCGAAGCGCCATCCCCGGTCCGCGTCGCGCTGCGACCCTGGAAGCGGGCGCCGCCGCCAACGAGAGGAGGAGCCCCGGCCGCGGGCCCCAGCAGCCACCGAGCCAGCAGGCGGCATCGAGGCCGGCAACATGGCGAGCGCTTCGTACCACATTTCCAACCTGCTGGAAAAAATGACATCCAGCGACAAGGACTTTAGGTGAGACTGAAATCCGACCCTCACGCCGCCTCGGGGAGGTGGGGGGGGACAGCCGCCGCCCGGGCCTCGCTGCAGGCCCGGCCCCACCCCTCGGTCCGGCGGGTCTCCAGCCACCCCCTCCCCCATCTTTCCTCCAGGCCGTTGTCCGCTGTGGCCCCCGGGTCCCTTCGGCGTCCCGGCGTCCCTATCGCATCCTTTGTCCACCCCTAGGGACACGATGCTAGCGTCCCAGGTAACGCCCTGGGCCGAAGGCACCCTCTCCGGTGGGGAAGGAGTCTTTCCCGGGCGGGAGGCGAGCGGCCAGGCCTAGTCCCCGGCTCTCCGGAGACACCAGGCCGTCCTGCCGCCGGGGACAAGCTGCTGCTCACCAGCCACGCAGCAGCCGCCTGCTTTTCCCGCGGATGGGAATGGGTGCAATGATCAACTTTTTTCGAGGCTTCCGCTGATTGGATTATATACTTTTTTTTCTTCGGGTATTCTTGTTTGAGAAAGGTGGGAAGAAGAGGGAGGGGAGCCGGAGGAAGGGGGAACAAAACTTGGCCTGCAGGATTTTTCCCGCCAGCATCGCTGTCACTTTCCCAGGTCAGGTGAAACCCCATTCAGGATCTCCTGGTTTCAGTCTCATACAAAATCAAGGCCAGAGGGCTGAATTGCCGAGACTCTTGCCAGGCAAACGAGTCTTCTTGGAAAGAGGGGCTGGTGAGCCGTGAAGCTTAATCATGGAGTTGAGTTCTGGGAGACCTGGACTATGGGTTCTTCTTTCCGGTGCACTTGAAGGTGTCACAGTTTTAGGGACTAGCTTAGTCTGTTTTTTTTCCACGCTACACTGATTGTTCCAGCCTTCCTGATTACTATCCCTTCACAAATAAACAAGCAAGAAAACAAAAAAACTATTACATTGATACGTGACTTTTGTCTGCAATGGTTTGGGAGGTATAGTTTTATGGATATTTAAAAAGAACAAATAGTCTTTGGTTGAAACGAGCCTAGGAGCTTGGGTTTTACTGTGTGAGCTGAAGATTTTCCAAATCCTATCAGGGACAATTTTCCAATCAGTGAAAGGAGAACCCTGGGGAAAGTAATGCCTTTGTTCCTAGATAAAGTCATTAAAGTGGTCAGTGACATACCAGGTCGTTTCTGTGACCCAAAACCACTAATACCTTAATTTTTTTTTCCTTTTCTACTTTGAGATCTAAGTCTTAAATTTCCATTTGAAAAAATAAAGGTTTCCCGAAGATTTCAATGTTGTGATGTAGGGAAAAGAGAGAGCGACTTGTTGAAGCATTTTGAATTTTTAGATTTGTTTGTTTCTAGGACCCATATTGAAGATTGAAGGTCTTGTTGTTGGACTATTTAGGATCAGAATGACTTTGGTTACTTCTGGATCTTTGCTTACTCACAGTTGAAGTCTTGAGATTTGAATAAATGAATGAAACACACATGCAAACCCAATTCTGAGGTGTGTGTGTGTGGTGTGTGTGTGGTTCCCTCCTTATGTCCTGTAGGCACTTCCTATAGAAGTACTGAGTTTCACTCTGAATTCTTGCTAGGATCATATAATTTTGTTCATTTGCAGGCTCATGGATGAATATATTTTGAAAGACTGCAGAGCTTGCGACTATTGATTGATTTCCTGTAAAAGAATGTGTACACACTTGGATTTTTCTTTTGTTTTGAAAACAAACTGCCATGAAAGAAAAAAAGCTCCGATTTTCTGCATTTAGATTGGAGTGAATCAAAACAATGACAAAAGTATTAGCCATAGTTCTAGAATTTGATAGATGTTTTCTTTAATAACAACAGCGTTCTTTAATTCAGCAATATTACAGTTTTTGTTTTTTTTTTTTACTCTTTTTTGGGGGGTAGGTGGGTTTGAGACTAGGTTTCTCTGCAGTAGCCCTGGCTGTCCTGGACCTTGCTCTATAGACGCTGACCTAGAACTCATAGAAATCCACCTGCCTCTGCTTCCCAGTGATAGGATTAAAGACTTGTGCCACCATCACCCAGCTCTTAACTCTTTTTTCCTTTTTAAACTAAATTTTAGCCATTTTCTTAACATATCTTCGGGGCTGAAGCTCTCTATACAGTAGTATCGAGCATTTTTGAAAGTTAACACATTGAGCTCAAGTCTTTTTTGGAGAGTTTTTTTATATTTTCGTTATGTAAACACATAGCTTTTTAAGGTCATGCTTGGTTCTCATTAGAAGTTTAGTTGTTTTGGTAAGTACCAAGATTTGTGACTAAATCTTTTTAAATACTTAATTGGCAGAAGATTTGAAGGCAGGCTAAGCAGCATTATGTAATGCCCGCCTTGTAGAAAGCTCCCTGGCAGCCTTGAGCTCCAGGACAGCTATAGGGTTTGGCCCAACAGAATTGTGAGGTGAAATTTTTTGAGGTTTTATATATATAACTGTTGTGCCACTCTCTAGGATGAAGTTAGTGACAATGTCGTATCACAATGTCAAAAGCTTAGACATGCTCATAAGGAAGGAAGACAATGTTTCTAGAAGGAAGAAAAAATTCTGTTCTCATGGTTTACCAGGTCTGGGTTCTAGTCCCATGAGATTCTTAACTATAAATTGTGAGGTCTTGGGAAATCCATCTGACTTGAGATTGAGTTTTCACTTCAAAAGCCTTCAGTGTGTGTGGTTACAAACTCTCAAGGATGGCTCTTTTCAGACAGCAGTGCAGTGCATTGAGGCAGAAAGGGTAAACAGCGTAAGCATAAACTGTAGGATGTTTTTAAAGATCCATTTGTGCAATTTAAATTGTAGGCTCATCTCATTATTTATTTATTTTAAAATCTCCTATGTCTTTAATTTCAGTGTTTTGAAAGTTGGTACTCGTGTTACGGATAAAGCAAGCATAAGAGGTGAAAAACGAACTTGGATGCTAATGAGAGGGGACATTTGTGTGTCCCAGTGTCTAGGATGGGTAGTGCCTTCACCTACTTTGATTTGGGGAAAGATTATTTTTAAAATGATTGCTAATTCAAGTAACCCTTTAGAAGAAAAATGGAAAGACATCACTCATTTCCAGTGTTCCTTAGAGCAGTTCTCACTACTTCTTGCGCGCCCCCCCCAAAAAAAAAACTCACGTAAGTGTGCTCAGACACCCCTCCCCCAAAAGATCTTTATATCAATAGTTACTTGGGTTCATAGACCTTTAGAGGTGTGTTCAAAACCAAAGAGCAGATAGAGTAGCAGTCAGCAGATTCTATAGATAACAAGGAAAGCTTTAGGGGAGATGAACGCTGAGTCTTCCTTTATGAATATTAATAGTAGATATTTGGTGGTTGTGATAACTTAGAAGCATTATCCACTTGATTTTATTTGTTCTTGTCTCTGGTAAAGTGGATAATAACAACCTCTATTTTGGAACTGGGATTGATTGAATGATTTGCTGGAAGTCAGCTAGTAAAGCTGGAATTTCTCTTTATTCATGAGTGCCTGGTTATGTATTCTTGGGATTTTAAATTATGGGCATTCTGATTCAGGTTTTAAATTTCAGTTGCTTCTAAAACTAGGTTCATGGAATGTTTTGTTCTGGAAGATGGCTTAATTCCTTTAGCAGAGCTTTGAGAAGTGGGCTCCACTGTTTATCCCTGGTAAATCTGCTTTTTGGATGGTTAAAACTTTACTGTAGAGGTATGTAATCTCTGCATTATGTAGGTGTCTGGTAAGGAGTGACAGAGGATTAAAGCAAGGAAATGTCATGTCTGTGGTGATCTTACTGAGGTCTTGCTTGATAGAGAAAAGTATGAAAACACATGGCAAAAAAAAAAACCTTGGGGGAAAGGGAGAAGATGATTTTGTCCTATAACTGGACAGTCATTGATTCCACGGAGTCCTTAAGAATAAGGACCTGATTTTTTAAAATAACTATGTTATTTTACTTTGTGTGTATGAATGTTTTGCCCACATGTATGTATATGCACCATGTATGTGCCTGGGACTCTTGGGTCAGAAGAGGACACTGGATCCCAGGAACTGGAGTTCTGGATGTTTGTGAGCCATTATGTTAAGTGCTGGGGAGTGCACCCAAGTTCTAAGAGCAACAAGTACTCTTTAACCTTGGAGCTGTCTCTTCAGGGGTCTGGTCTTAACTTTTCTACTCTTATTCAGTTCATTGGACAGCTGGCTTCCACGAGAACTTGTAGTACTTGAATTGCATGGAAGGAAAAAGGCATGCAAGCATTTTGAGAGATCTCAAGAAACCATTGTAAAACAATTCCATGCTGCTTGATACAATCTTGAAATAATTTATGATGTTGATAGTTTGTTACAAAGTTTATTTTTGCTTTGAATATTAGCGGATGCTTTCCTTTGGAAACTTCGTTAGTAAAAATCTAAGCCTATAAAAAAATCACAATGGAAAGGGAGTTAGAGAGTTTGTTGACTTTGAGCTGCAAGTGTGAGTTCGCACATTGACATAGAAAGAAGCATAAGCATCACCATCTTCATTGCCTTTTCTTGAGCAGCTTTAAAAAGACCTTTGTGGTGATTAAAAGGTGACTTGAGATACTTTGTACTGGCAGATGGTGGTTACAGCTTGCTTGATATCCCTGAGTGCCAATATGGGCAGACAGAGCAGCAGCGGTGAGAGTTGAGTACTGAAAAGGGAGAAGGAGAAGTGTGATAGAAGGAACTTGTCTGTGTGGATAGATGGTCCCAGGCTTACTCATAGCTCTAGGAGATGCATCAGGAAAAGGTGGTTTGTGCAGAAAATATTTGAGCGATAATTGCTGAATGGTGCATTCTGGCCAAGTCACCTAGATTTCTGCTGTAGTCAAAAGTCAAGTTGTGTTTATGTGTGAGGGGAGGTGGGGAAAGTTACTCATTGTACAACACAACATGCCACTTTCTAGCGTCATTTCGGCTCCTCTGTGCCGAATTTACCTGAAATAAATAAATTTTCTCCCCAGGAAGCTCTCAGCAAGAGTCAGGTGTGTAGGGTCTGGATTCCAACTGTCTTGTAACTTACTATCTGAAGAGCTTCGCCTGAGTTCTTGATGCCGCTGCCTCCACCACTACCCTGCCCCCAAATACTTGCTGACTGTGTAAGGCATCTTGCCTGCAGATTGGGTCCATCTTAGAATTGCATAGTGGGCTGAATTTAGCAGTGAGGATTTTATCTCCCTCTTCCATATTAAATCTCCTTTGTCCCCAGTTTAGCTTATTAAATTAATGTTTGCTGGAAATTGCCAAGTAGAACAGCACCTGGATGCAACTCTTTTCCAGCCTTCTAGTAAAAACCTCAGACTTCTCAGTCTCCTGGTCTTAGTCCCTTCCGATGACTCAGTCACTCTGTCAATTAGAAATTCCCCTAAAAATCATCTCTGGTTCTTTTTTTTACTTTCTTTTTGATTCTGATTGGCCACAAGAAAAACTCCAAAGCCCTTAGCTGGTATCTCAGCTTATTAGAGCCACTCTCCCTAACATCCCTAACAGTCTTCCCCATGTAATAGATTTTAGTGCGTGTCTTCTGTGTTGCACTTAAGCACTGTTAGCACACTTGGATTTTTCTTAAGTGATATCCCAGATGTCATTTGGTATCTCCAAAAGCTAAGGCTGTTGGAAGGAACCTGTTTGGGGCGTGT